CATACAATTGCAATTTGTCTGCAAGTTTTTTGCAGCAATCACTTGCATATATAGTGCCACAGGTTCTTCCTTAATATATACGGAGGAGAAATTGTTATTTAAAATTTCTGCCTTATCCTGGTCTACATTAACTAACACCCCCATCCTGGTTTTTAGTGTAACTACAATAAAATTTTCCGTTTTTATTTTGAATTTATGTATTTCAAAAATGCTTTGGGGTTGGTTTTGCTCACTTTGGCTGTCATTTTTAAATTTTGTAGTTTAGCGAATCTAATTGCCTTTTGCACCCATTATTGGCTTCCTTATATCTTTTATAGGATGCCTCTGATTTGTCCGATTTAAAAGATTTGAATGCCCTTTTCTGATTTCTTGATTCACTTTCCCACTAAGCCACATTGTTTAATTTGTTTCTTTTATATTTATTACCCAATTGTACATACTGAGATATGTACCTTTTTAATACTTATTTTAAGATATTCCATTTATCCTCAGTGTCCTTTTCACTAAAGAGTTTATGCCAGTCAATATATTGTAAAGATGTCACTCCGTTCATACACTGGCAACAAAACCAGCGTAGCAGTGTAATGGTGGAGGTTTGCTCTGCTTGGTGAAGTGTCCCCAACCAGGTCATATCAGTGAAGACCGTGGGAGGAGCAAGGGCAGACTGGAAGTGGGTGTTACAGAAGTGGGACACCTACCTTTGTAATAAGATCGCAGCAGGGCGAGAGGATGGTCAGGTAAGTGGTGGCAGGTTCACTTTAAGTATGTTTGGGTATAAACCTTCCGGCCCTTGGGCTTTATTTACATTGACTATTTCATTGTGTTAGCACTTTATCCTGGGTCAACCAGTCGCTTGTTTGCAGTAAGGATTTCGTTACATGCATTTGCAAATCATAAACTAATATAGAAAGCTGATGTAAGGAGTGACAAAGTTGCCGGGTGTGAAAAAAAACTGTGGTGTGAGGAGATAAGCTGGCCACTGTATTTATTAATAACTGTACGTGGGGTTTCCAGATGAGACTGATTGTGAGTTGTAGTGTCAGAATGAGAATTAATCAGCAGGAAAACAATGCTTTGCATTTGTTTGCTAAAGAGGCAATTATGAGCCAGATTTTTAACATGTGTAGAGTCTGGTATGCCTAATGCAACACACAGGGATGAGGGAGTCTGACTTATGGTGGGTTGCTCAAAATTGGACAAAGACAGGATTTCACCCAGTACCTGTCTAAAATAATAAAGTATGAAGAAGTAGCACCTTAATTCGGAGTGGTATGTCCAGGAGCTGTTTCACCCACAAATGGCTGTTTATTAGAAGTATATAGTTGTGTCAAATAAGGAACAAACAAGAAGTTTGGATATTGTGGAAAAGTGATATAACAATATGTATGGTGTATACGTCTTTAAATCTGCTAGAGGCAGAGTAAGTGTGGTATACATAAACTTTATGACATTAAGCGAGGGAAATGCAACCAAAATACTAGTTATGTTGCTCACACTGTCCCTTTAAAGAATTATATGAGAAAATGTATATTTTTACATTCTACATTGTTTTCTCAGCAATAAAACGGTTATTAACATGAAAAATGGTCTTTGAATAGAAATGTATTTGTCCCCAGGGGGTGAGATCCTCAGATTCAAACTTACACTCTTTTTCACAAAGTCTTTGCTTACATGATATGGTCATGTGCTGGAATTAAGATGCATGGGCAGCTGGGAGAATGAGACACCTGGGGGAGATGAGATGCATGGAGGGGCTGGGGAAGGCGCAAAAGAGACAGACAGGAGCTTGGGGTTGAGACACCCAGATGGTCTGGGAGGACACAAAGAGACACAAAGGGGCAGTGGAAGGGACAAAAGAAACAGACTGGGGCTTTAACTAAACCCTTTAGATTTTAGTCATGTCAACTCAAATCTAATGGAGTTTTAGTCAACTCAAATCTACTGGAGATTTAGTTTACTAAAACTAAAACAATAAGATGATTAAAATATCACTAAAACTAAAATGGTGGGGGGGGCGTGGCTAGCTGAGCAGCTAACAAGACGTGCAAGTGTGGAGCTCCGGCTAAACACACCGTTTAATACGACGAACTGCCACAAAATCCTAACAACCAGAACAGATATCCAGACTAATAGTGATCTAAATGCCCCCAACCTCGAGATGGGGCGAAAAAACAAGAAACAAACCTGCCTGGAGGGCTCAAACACGCCAGACATCAGGCGGTCCTTCAGTAGGCCGCAAAGACTAACACAGACCAAGATGGCGCAGGAAAGTGACCAAAGCTCTAGTGAATCGGAGGCATCGCCCCACGAGCGGGGCCCCCCGACCACACAGAAAGCTAATGCAGGTTATCGGACAGGAGAATCCGACTCCGACGACTCGCCCTCTACCAAGGGGGATATCAAAAAGCTGCTACTCGACCTACGGAAGGTATGGAAGTCGGATTTGGACGAGATACGGTCTGAAATAACCGGAGTCACAGCACGACTGGGTGCAGTGGAGAATAGGGAAGGGAACAGAGACATTCTCATTGCCGAGACCCAAACCCAAATGACCTCCCTGACCCAACAAATCCTGAGACTTACCCGCACAGTGACCGCGATAGAGGCCAGACATCGCAAGAGAAATGTCCGCACCCGCGGCGCACCTGAAACTATAGGCCCAGAAGCCTTACTGGAGTTTACTAATAAAATAGCGACCATGATGGGAGCAAAGAAAAATGGTGAACTGCGGCCCATCACAGCGGCATTCAGGATTCGGAAGGCCGCGGCCGCCCCTGCGGACGCACCCAGGGACATTATTGCAATCACACGAGACATTACGGTAAAAGTGGCGATTATGGCTGCCTCCAGAAAGACACCCACCGCCATAGTGGACAACCTCCACATCAAGGTATTCGACGACTTACCGTTTGCGACTCTGCTAGAGAGGAGAAGGTTCATGCCGATCACCCGACAGTTGAGAGAACATGGCATCAGATACAGATGGGGTGCAACTGGCACGCTGGTGGTGCCATACAAAGACAGAGTACTTTCATTATCAGCAGAGGAAGACCCTAAGAACTTCCTACAGGAACTCCAACTCCCCCAGCCAGCACCCCCGGAACAGGGGAGAAGCAAGACCCCCAGCGCCGCAGGCGACAACGCTACCCGGGAGGAAGACCCTGAGGGGTCAGAGACACAAAGAAGACCAGGCCTGCAGAACCCCCCCATAGAACTGTCAGATTACGAGAGGACTGATCACAGGCCTACCTACCTGGCTGGGAGAACTGAACCCCTTACAGCCCCTCAGGCATCTAGCATTTAATTTAAAGTTGTTTTAATTTAAAGTTGTTTTAATTACTGTTGTTTTTGACAGTTATAGATGGCCCCATGGTGCCTGGCACCTTGGGTTCAAAACACCTCGACACACACGACTCCCAACAGAGACATGCGTGACGATGGGGAAATACAGGCACTTAGAGAGAGGGGGTAGGATACGGACACTATACACACACGGGGGGGGGGTGGAAGGAGAGGGCAAACATCATGCCACCACAATGCACCACACAGCAAGTCTAGTTACGCGACACCTTTGCAGGGAAAAGTGCACCCCAGACGACCGTATAGCTGAAGTGGAACGTAAACCAAAGGAAGCAAAGAAGACATATAACATGGACAGACGCGATATACTTATAGACTATCAGGCGCACACCAGCAATAATCATCTATGTGACAAATCTCTAACCCACCCCTAGCAACGACGAAATACAAGATACCAAACACTGCAAGCTTCTGGCAGCCAAGGCATGCCTAAAGGGAAGCCGGACAGGTCTCCTACTCTCAGTCAGACATAGGCCGACCCCCGCACCGACCATATCACACTCACACGCAAGACACTATTATCACTAATTTCATATTTTCATATGTTTAACTTATCACACTAACGTCTAGACTTACTATTTTTGAAAAATGTTACAAACTATCTACCAAAGTCAAATGTTAATGATACCTAGCTATTCACTCACTACTAATCGCTACCGATACCATAGTACGATTTATATCGACCAGTTAACCTGTAAAATTGTGCAGCTTACAAATATGACATGACATTGTATACCATGAATAGCCAGCAGTTGCTGTTGTGGCACTGCGGGCACGACTGTTTACTTTATTGCACTATCAAAATAAAGAATTTAAAAAAAAACAAAAAAAAAAACAAATATAAAACTAAAATGGCGTTTTAATCAAAAGACCATGACTAAAACTAGATTGAAATATGCCGCCAAAATGAACACTGCATGATAGGAAAGAGTTATCAAATATCTATGAACATGTAGTCAATCGTAATAATGTTTATCCATAACACTGCAGATATTTATGGACCACATTTCCCAACATCCTAAGCCAGTAATTTGTGTATGTTTGCCTGTGTGTAATTTGTGAGTTTTACATAGTTACATAATAATCTAGGGTGAAAAAACACTTATGTCCGGGGGGCGGGGCCTGACAGCCAAGATGGCCGGTCGCACTTCATGAGAGCTCCAGCACTGGAGAGCAAAACAAGCCAATTTTGACTAAAAGAATCACCACTAGCGGCTCACAGTGCACGGAAATCGACACAGTATCTACCGGGGCACAGGATGATACCCGTCCTAAACAGAAACGCTATGAAACTGCCTGAACCGGCCATGCGGCCTAAACTGGAGCGGAGCCTGAAGTCTGGGGGAGACGGCCGATCACCCGACAGGGGGCACGCACACAAGCGAGAGTCAGAAATAGCCCTGCTACCCCCCCCTTTGGACCGGTGGGGGATATCCCGGTCCTCGCCGGGGACGAACAACCCCACACTAAAGCCTGAAACCCACCAGCTTCAGAGTGCCCCAGGTACTGCAGTTGTAAAAGCACTGAACCAACCCAGGGAGAGCACGGAGCACACAGAAGACTGTCACACAGACTATGCTGATTACACAGCAAGGTTGGATGCAATCTTTACAGCATTCTGGCATAAGCTTGAAAAGCGCATGCAAAAACGCGCAGAAATCAAACACGAAGCCCAGCTCATAAAGCAGCCACGAGGCGGGAGTAAAATGTCCGCTGCTAAACAACCTCAGCGCGCACAGGGCCGACGACACCGTTCACCCCTGCACAACAACCCGCGAACCACAATGACAGCTCGAAGCAGTAAACCTTTTGGGAAGGGAGTCATACAGGGCCATGACTTGACCCACCGTCCACATACCCGGAGGGGCTTCGGGGAAGCAGAGCTCCGGAGGGCACACGGTTCCACCAAGAAAGGTAAAGGGACCCTTGGACACTGGGAAGTGACCCCTGTAACAACCCGAGCTGGAGGCTCTGAGCGGCCCCGTCACCACCACACCAGCCACCCTAGCCACTCACGGGGACACAATCATATATGGAGCCATGATCTAGAAGGCAGCAGACAAGAGGAGATACCCCCAGCATGGCCCGCAAGTGGGGTCGGTTGAACGCCGGCAGGTGCAATCGCTAGCCACGTGAGCAGGGAACAGAGACATTCCACGCAATCTTAAACCAAGATGCTCAGAAAATCTCCCAGCGAGATGTGTGCCTATATTTACAATGTGCCTATACTTACAATAAGCCTATAATTATTGTGTGCCTCAAATTCATATATGCATATAACCACTGTATTCCTACCCTTAGTATAATAACATATCCACATATATGCTACCAACCGACCCACAAACGACACACAACCCAGCACAACACAATTCCATGGCAACATAACCCACTATGAAACATATCTATTGCTGTGATGTAAATGCATGTTGTCTTGCCTCTTTGTCACTCCTCTGATCTCTTCTAACGAAGTGTTAAGCACCTCCTCAGGAGCATAATCTTAAGAGCAACAACCTCCATTGTATAAACACCTAGTTTAGCAGGTTAGCAAATTTACTACTTACTTCTACCCCAACCTTACTATTGTTACTCATAATAATGTTATCCAAGCATACTCATCGTAATTTAACTGAAGATGTTCATTTATAATTGACTTTATCACATGCATGTCTAGCGTAGAATGTTTAATACGTCTACTAATGTTACAAAGCTTTTAACATTACAGTTAACCAATAAGCCTGTCTAACCTTTAACGAACACTCGACTTATATTAGCCTATTAGAATCATACCAAATAGACAAAGCGGATTATCAATCTTACGTTTAACTATTAATATGCCTAAATACTTTAACATGTTATTTCATATAAGCAATGTTTACTAGCCTGTTATATGCATTTTTAACAAAAAATGTGCAAATGTAAAAAACCACGAACATGTCTGCATGAACCTGCCTGTGTCTGCTGTCGTGGCCACACGGGCCTGCATGTAAAATCTTTTGCACCAAAAATAAAGAATTTAAAAAAAAAAATAAAAAAAACACTTACGTCCACTAAGTTAAATGTTGTTTCACACATCTTTTTTTGTGCGGCATGTGAGCTTGTGGATAATGTATGTAGGGAATGGCGGAATGATGGGTGAATGAGTGTCAAAATTGGGTTATGTTCCATTCAAACCTAGACTAGTAGCAAGTATAGTTTAAAAAGTTTATTACCGGTCATTAGGATGGCTGGGGTTAACACTTATAAAGTAACATGATAAGCCTATCGAAGGCAAGAATAGTCTGAGGCATACCTAGGTCAAGAGTCAACAATAAGGTGACAACACAGTGGGATAAGCCAAGGACAGGAATACAGAAGATAGTGATGTCAAGGGAATAGTCAAAGTCAAAACACCAGAAAAGTCAATATGATAAATTAGAACATAGTCTTCGGTACAATACACCACAACAAGGCAAGCTTCCTAAGGTGGACAGGGTTTAAAACGAGGATGCGTCATTCTTGTAGGTCAGCAACATTTGTGTGAGTGCTATCACCTTTTTGTTACTGTTTTTTTATTCTCCATTAAGGTAAGGGGTGACTCTACTCTGAGTGGACATTAGCTGCACAGGGTTATTGGCTGGGCACAACTTTACCCTATGTTTTTTTTTTTTATTATTTGTGGACATTTGAGTGATACCAAGATGTAAGCAACCGGGACTCACCTTCAGTGGCTGTCAATATGAAATTTGTACCAAACTGCAATGTTTTACACTGCAGAGTTAAAACTAAAGGGGCCATTGCACCTAGACCACTTCATTGAGATATGATCATCTGCCATTAAATCGTCTTAGGAAACTATGCTAGCAGTCATAACTATGATTAAACTGTGAGCGCAGCATGCAACTAGCCAGGCATTCTTATAGACGGTTCTCCTCCCTGCCACTCTACTTGCCAAGGTCAATCACAAGATGATAATTTAATAAAGACTTGTTATTTATATGAATAGCACTGTCACACTGATTTTTGTACCAAAGAAAACCTTGTTTACCACAAACATCCCTTCACTGACTACTGTTGAAGAACATTTTATTTTGTTGTGCCCAATTATTCAGAGTTCTAGTTTCTGATAAACAAAACTTTCTATATCACTGAACGTATCTCCTTTTCTGGGTGTGCAGGACTTCTTTGTATCGACTTCACAAAAGTGCCACACTTTGTGTAGAAAATACTACAAAGCTCTCAAAATTTGTTGGAAAAACCAAGCCCACATCCCCCAAATTAAAGTCTTATATGTTTGATTCTAGGGGGCTCAAAGATCTTTAGTGCTTGATTCAAGATAGATATCTCCTCATTTAAAAACTGCCGTAAAGAGAGAAGAGGCCTGCCCACCTTTTCCTATTTTTTCTATTTCTGCCATTTTCTATTTGCAAATGCGTGCCTATGTAAAGAGGCTTTTCAAAGGTTTACTGCGTTTTTAAAGGCTCACTATATTTCAAAACCTTTACACAATTAAAGTTAAAATGATTGAAGCAAGGGAAAAAAATCTCACCTTTTAAATGGAAAACTTCTCAACTCAGTTGGGTCCTGTCATTCATGTGGATGTTACTTTGACATTTGCCACCTACCTTGAGATTGCTGCAGACATAAAATCCCAGATGTAAATCCCTTCATGGCAATGATGTTCCGTGATGGCAGTAGCCTGTTTCAGCAGGATAATGCACCCTGCCACACTGCAGAAATTGTCCAGGAAGGGTTTGAGGAACATGACAAAGAGTTCAAGGTGTTGCCTTGGCCTCAAAATTCCCCAGGTCTCAATTTGTTTGAGCATCTTTGGGATGTGCTGGAACAACTAATCTGATCCATAGAGGCCCCACCTCTCAACTTGCAGGACTTAAAGGGTCTGCTGCTAAAGTCTTGGTGCCAGATACCACAGGACATGTTCAGAGCTAACACAAAAGAGCTGTTTTGGGCAGCACAAGAGGGACATCCACGATATTAGGCAGGTGGTTTTAATCCTGTGGTGTGTTTTGTATGTATGTTTCCCTGTAATTGTGTATCCACTTCTAAATAGTGGTGGATCGGGAATTTCCTAAACACTGTCCCTGAATCTCATAGGTGGAACATAAAATAAACAGTATGAAAAGCAGGGCCTACACTCTGGGTTTACCAAACAATTTGGCTGTGATATGCACAATTTGTATCTGATTATTTCTAAACTGCATGGTATGAAAATACTCCTACTATGTTTTTACACTGTACCTTACCCCCTGCCCGTCCCCTCCCCTCCCACTACTTGTCTTTCTGTACCATTCCTCTGGTTTTATATAGATATTCTGAAAATAAGATATTCTAAATAGACACAGATATCTAACACTGAAAAAGTGTTCACTACACTTAGTCACCCTACCAAATGTTGTGCTCTGAGCAGACTGTGAGCAAATTATCTCATATAACTCAATGAGAGAGCCAAACAAGTTATTTTGGACTAGGTGTGCAAATTCTTTCATAGAAATCAATGAGTGAGCCAAACAAGTAATTTTGGAATTGATGAGTAGATCTTATACAGTCATTGAAATTGTGTTTCCCTCTCTGACATCAGAGAGTATGTGGTGAACATATAGCTTTACATAGCTTCCAACACTGATGAAACATTTGACCAGTGTAACGGAGCTCCCTGTACTCCGACTGAGTACCCTCCGTTGATGGATGCTCCTAGTGCTTCCTGAGGACTCCCAAGCACTGCAGCAGACACCACAACCACCGCAGACTCCGCAACCGCCGTATCTTGACTGGAGTCTCGCCGTCTTCCTTCCACTCTGGATCAGCTTCTGTCCTCCAGGACTGTGTGGTGAAGACCCCTCCTACAAGGAGAGCGTATCAGGAGCAAGCTCTTAAAAGAGCTAAGTGACTCAAGCTCAGGGGAGCATGCAGAGCATAGCAATCCCCAGTGTGATTATAACAGCTCCCTCCAATAATGAGACAAGGCTACATTTAGAGGGATCAAGAAGAACTGTCAAAACCTTTATTTCCCTTGGGACCAGCCAATACGGTCACCACAATAACATTGTTGTGAAACCTCAATAAAATCACAAACAGTCAAAACACATCAAGCAACACACAGTGACTTATCACAACACAATGGCACATTTTTAAAGGGGTGGGGGGAGACAATATTTAAAATTAAATATCTCACCTGCCTGCAGAATTAGCAATATGCAAATCTACCCGAATATGCAAATAAACCAGTCTTGCAATTCAGGTAGTGCATATTGCTGTTGCTACCAACAGAGGGCACTAGACCAGCTCCATAGCCAAACCCACCTAGTTGGTAGCAAACCTCAGCAATACAAGAGAGCAGGCAATACATTACACAGTACACACACACACACTATAAACAATTACATTACACACACCCTGCACCTATAATGGGTACAGGGTGACTAAAACATAGGATAAATAAAGCAGCCCACATAAATAGTCTGTCTGAAGGTAGACTAGGGGCTTTAAAGCCAGATAGATGAAAGAGTCATAGTCACAGGGGAGGAGGCTGGCAAGTAGGCCTCTCCAGGACCAAGTGGCGAAGGGCACTTCGTCACAACCAGTCTAATCCTTTGTTAACAAACGGGACATCCACAGCAATAGCCTCATTATGCCAGTCAAATGCTTCTCACAGAGAAGCACTGAATCCCCTACTTTTCTAAGCATTGGACATAATTGATGTGCAGAAGACCTTTGAGAATTATGGTTTTAAGGAGTAAGAGCCTCTAGTGGCTTTTATTTTGTCACCCACTACAGGTGCGAATTCAGACAAATGAAAACATTACAGTTATTCAGAAATGGCAATATATTATATTGTCAGAAAAAGAGGGACATCATATATACACCAAAAAAAGTTGTCTTGGTGCTTAGGGTCCCTTTAATGCATTAAAGTGCAGAGCCGCAGAAAATGTAAATGTGAAAATGTAATCCTGGCAAGCAAAAATTCCCCACCGTATCCCGGTGAGTATGTCATGCACACCCCAGGTTTGAAGTGGCAAATAAACCAACTTAAGACCTGGCTAGTACTATAGGATTTGAAATTTTAAGCCTTGAAAATAGACATATGCATATAAACACACACATATAACAC